AAGTGTGTAGGTCTATACATATGTTGTATATAGTATGTTTTAAATGTGTGTTATGTATGTGTACACTTTGAGAGCAATCAACTAAATTTCATTTTTAATGTGTGCTGTTGTGCCCACAGGAAAAAATGGCAATAAAGATTATTTAATCTAATCTAGGTTTTCCCATTTGCAATGTATGGATGTGAAAGTTGGACCATAGGAAAGGCTGAGCGCCAAAGAATTGAGGCCTTTGAACTATGGTGCTGGAGAAGACTCCTGCGAGTCCCCTGGACTGCAAGGTGATCAAACCGGTCAGTCCTAGAGGAGATCAACCCTGATTGCTCTTTAGAAGGCCAGATCCTGAAGTTGAAACTCAAGTACTTTGGCCACCTAATGAGAAGGAAGGACTCACTAGAGAAGAGCCTAATGCTGGGAAAGATTGAGGGCAATAGAAGAAGGGGACGACAGAGACTGAGGTGGCTGGCTGGAGTCACTGAAGCAGTAGGCGTGAGCTTAAATGGACTCCCAAAGATGGTAGAGGACAGAAAGGCCTGGAGGAACGTTGTCCATGGGGCCGCAATGGGTCGGACATGACTTCGCAACTAACAACAACAAATCTAATCTAATCTAATCTAATCTAATTAAATGGAATGGATAAATGATTCTGGACAGTTGCTGCTTGCTCTTCTTGCCAGACTCCCTGTTTTGTTCAAGCTCTGTGACATTCTTTGCTAATTGCCTGGAGAAGCTGTGCTGCAAACATGTAGCTCTAAAGACAAGGTTTTGCAATGCAGATTGTTTACTCTGACACTTGTTCATGATGCATTGAGATTGAGGATGGCAGGTGGCCAGCACTCACTCCTTCACGTCCCCTGCTTCTGAGACAACGTCAGGTTCTGTGGGGGGGGGGGGGGGAACAAGCAAAAAGCAAACATTTAAATACATGCCTGAACTTGCAGTTGTTCCTGGCAGAAATCTTTGCCATCCACACATGGAACAAAGGAAGCCAACTTATTCTGATCCCCTACAATGCAGCCAGAAAATGATGGGTAGACATGCTTTTCTCACAAAGAACCAACTTTATTTGAGACTGCACAGTTTGACGAGCTGATTTATCGTCTGATGTTACCCATAATCCAGGAGTAGGTAACATATAAACAGAACATCTGGACTTTTCAGACCATGAGGTGGTTACACTCTGTCTATGACCAGTTGTGAAATCACTGAAACAATGCAGAGCTCAAAAACATTCTCGCAACTTCATATCATGCCAGATCATGCCAGTTTTTGATTTAATTTGCATTATTAAATACATCTTCTGTTTGTATTATTAGACAAATGAAGTTGACAGCAAACCTAATAGGCATCTTGGCAATAGTCTGGGGACCCTTTGCTGCTTCCAGCTATCACACAGTCTGCCTCTATCCTTACATCTTTTATTAGAGTTTATTGTGGTATATAGTGCAAATAGAAATAAAAAACAGGAAGGAAAGGGGAAATCAATGCAAGGTAAAAAGAAAAACAGGGAAAAGCAGGGACTTCCAACTCTTTTTGATGCAGAGCATAAAATACAATTGCAACTTCAACCTTTGCTTTACATTTCTAATAGATACAAGCCAACTTAATCCAATAATCAAAACCTAAAATCAAATTTTCATTTTTTTTGTTACAAGCATAAAATCCAGAAGCAGTTTCCAAGTAGAAACAAAATTGGATATTTTATTTCCTTTAATTAAAACAGCTTTGCCATCATGGCCTGCCTATTTCCTGATTATTAAGAAACCATGGTAAACTGTTTCAACTTCTTCCCTCAAGATGATGCTATAGCATTGCACACCAAAACAACTAGACACAAGGACAGTTTTTCCCCATGCCCTCACTCTGCTAAACAACTAATTCTCACAACTCTGTCAAACGACCTAGTAGTGCTGTATTACTATTATCCTTCTCATCTTTCCTATTACCCATTTCTTTATTTTCTTATGACTATAAACTTTGTTGCTTGTATCTTATGATTTATATTGATTGTTTTATTTAGTCTCCTAGTATGATTTATGTTGATTGCTTATTTAGTATCTTATGACTATCACTGAATGTTGTATCTTATGATTTATGATGAATGTATTTTATGGTTATGATCATGTTTTATCATTTGTTGCTTGTATGTACCTGAGACAAATTCCTTGTGTATCCAATCACACTTGGCCAGTAAAGAATTCTATTCTATTCTATTCTATTCTATTCTATTCTATTCTATTCTATTCTATTCTATTCTATTCTATTCTATTCTATTCATTCCACTCCACTCCACTCCACTCCACTCCACTCCATTAGAGGACAGGATGGAAAGAAAGAAGCCAAAACAGAAGCCTTGCAAAGGAGAAAAATACTGCACAGGTAGTCCTCGACTTATAATAGTTCATTTAGTGACCATTCAAAGTTACAATAGCACTGAAAAAAATGACTTATGACCGTTTTTCACACTTATGACCTCTATGGCTCCCCATGATCATGTGATCAAAATTCAGATACTTGGCAACTGATCCATATTTACGACCGTTGCTGCATCCCAAGGTCATGGGATCACCTTTTGCAAACTTTTGATGAGCAAACTCAATGGGGAAGCCAGGTTCATTTAAGAACTGTGTTAGGGTTGAATGTATGCATTTGTTTTGTTTCATTTGTTTGTTTTACTGTTTTGCATTTTATTCTCTGTGATAAATCAATAACAATAATAATAAAAATAAAAGAACCGTGTAACTAACTCATCAACTGCAGTGTTTCATATAACAACTGTGACAAGAAAGATTGTGAAATGGGGCAACATTCACGTAACAAATGTCTCAGTTAACAACAGAAATTTTGGGCTCAGTTGTGGTTGTAAATTGAGGACTACCTGTGCTTTCAGATTTGCAAGATTCTGTCAATGTAGCTTTACAATAAAGTTGAATTTGTTCACTTGGTTATTATTCCTTTCTGGTTTATCCTGTGAGGTTGATATCAATCTTGCAAATATGAAACTACATTCCCCCCCCCATCTTCTTTACAGTCTGAGAAACTAGGGGGGGGTCTCTTCTCAGGCCTTTGCTCCACCCACTATCCCATTGTGGCCTATGCTATCCAACTGGTCCTTTGACAGTGTCTGTTTGCCTGGTCTTTCCCACATACCATTATACAACCTATGCAAAAATGTGTGGGTTTGCATTAACAACACTATCATGCTGTGAACATCACCGACTTCTTTGATTTATGTTGTGCTCTGATTCAACAGAAACTTTGATAAACTGAATCTCCCATCTGAAGATTCACACAATCCTAGGGATTAGTTAATCAAAGAAGAGCACATGTGAGTTTCAGGTCTGTTTACCATACTTTAATTGAACTCACAAAATTAGCTTCTCGTTCTTCCCACAAAATAAATTGCTGGGGAAAAAAGCCTATTGGTTAAGAAACAAATCTCTAAATTGTATGTTTAACTTTTGCATCTGACTCAGTTTAGTCATTCTTAAGCTTCTAAAATAAATAAGTCTGTTTTCCGTGGTATATCAACTTGTAGCCTAAGTCTCTGAATGTAAGAAGAATATTTTGAAAACATTTTCCCATTAATTTAGGTCTTTCCTTACACTTTATTTCTTCATCTTGGCTAGTTACTTGTAGCAATCCCTGATGTTTAAGATTAGCTTTTTCATTGACAGCCAAAAGGAAGCAATAAGAACAGAAAAAAAAAAATCTAATCATGTCGATGATGCAGAAGAACGTCAAGTGGGATGTCAGGACTGCCTCTGTTCAAATCCTAAAAAAGAAAACCCCCAACTCCTTTGATTTAGAGAAGAGGTACTTTTCAACCAATCACGCGACTAACTGACCACACACAGGCACACAAGCTAAGGAGAATAAGACAAGAAAATCCTAGTTTGGTAACGAAACGTTCAGAAATTATATTGAAACAAGCTTGGAGAACAAACCACCGCTAAAATCTAAAACCCAAGCTACAAGTATTTTCTATTATTTCAAAGAGGTACTTTTAGGTACTGATAGCAGTGAAAGCATGCAAGATCTGAGGCAAAACCATGCACAAGTTACACATAGCAAATCATCCCAAATCCCTCCTCCCAGGGTCTGCACAGAGAGTCCAATCAACATCCAGTAAGATGTTATGGGAAACAGCTCCTCTGCAGGTGTTTCTTGCCTCTGGAGTCCCAGGACGGTTGACCTTGGAGAATTGTAAACTAACTCACTCAGCAGTGCCATAGCTCATGAGTAAAAACCTCTCTTCCAGTTCCCAGGACACCCACTCCTCACCACCCCTCTTCCCACTCCAAATACCTAACCCAGGGGTAGGCAACCTTGGATCTTCTATGGCTCGTGGACTTCAACTCCCAGAATTCCTGAGCCAGCCATGCTGTGGAGAAATGGAGAGGTTTCCATGCTGAGCCATGCTGGCTCAGGAATTCTGGGAGTTGAAGTCCACGAGTCATAAAAGAGCCAAGGTTGCCTACCCCTGACCTAACCCTACCCTCCCTGTTTCCATGTCAGCCGATAGCAAGCAAGCCTCAGAAAAGCCAAGTCAACGGGGAAGCCATATTCCCTTAACGTCCATGTTACTAATTTAACAACTGCAGTGATTTACTTAACAAACCTGGCAAGGAAAGTCGTAAAATGGGACAAAACTCACTTAACAAATTTCTTACTTGACAACAGATTTTGGGCTCAATTGTGGTTGTAAGTTGAGGAGTACACTTTTTCGTTCTTAGAGAGTATGCATAGGACATCTGCAGAGTGTAACTCTTCATAGTTTTATTCATTGGCCTCATGGTGTTTGCTAGAGTTTAATTCAGAGTAAATGTACTTTGGAGTGTAATGGCTAAAAGCAGAGCGATCAGAAACTTTTTGGGGAGTTGAATATTTGACCTTTGATTAAACTTCATGCAGGATTGAAATACGTATCTTTTATCTGTGCTCTCTTGCTCAATAAGGAATCAATAAAGAAGAATCAAGTTCAGTAAGATAGAATTTTCCAGTTTTTTAAAGAAATAGTTTTATTATTGTATTGGTAGTTTAATTATGATAGCTTAATGGAGCTTGGAATAATAAATCAAAGCCACTAGGAATAACTGGTTTAAGCTTCCTTTAAATTTAGCCACATAAACCAGTATTGAATATCAGCTTCCCAATCCTGAAAGTTCCCTCAAGATAGGTAAAATTACTGAAGGTAAAATTCCGTAACAAGCCAATGTGAAGTTCATTCAGAATAGTTATCGAGGGTATTGAACAATTATACTTTACTAGTATGTATTTAGATCTTTCCAAGTTGAAATTCCTGGCTTGAATTCTTGTCTGTATAACAGAGAAAGGGGATCAGCTACCATATATTCCGGCGTATAAGACGACTTTTGAGAGCGTTGAAACAGGCGCTGAACTCGGGGGTCATCTTATAAGCCGAGTCGTTTTATACACTGGAAGTAAGGTAGTTTCCGGCGTATAAGATGACTTTCTAGGCGTGCGACTCGGCGTCGATCGTCTTATATGCCGGAAATACCAGTATTTCCGGCATATAAGATGACTTTCTAGGCATGCGACTCGGCATCGATCGTCTTGCGACTCGGCGTCGAACTTGGGGGTTGTCTTATACGCCGGGTCGCCCTATACGCCGGAATATACGGTACTGTATTTCTGTGTAAACAAGTTAATCAATATTTAAGGCAAAATAATCATATACCTCATCAAGTATCTTCTCCATAGCCATTCCTTATATAAATGGAGAGATATGTTTCTATCAGTTACTGGGTATGGATAAAAACATTTATTTTTATGAGAGATCTGGAATCAGGGCAGGATTCCCTATTGTACATCAGGAGTGTCAAACTGCCGGCCCATGGGCTGGATGCATCATGCAGAAGCCACGCCCAACCCATTGCCGGCAACGGCAAAACAGTCCTGATATGTCGCCGACGTCACATGATGTCGCGAGTTTGACATGTCTGTTATACACTATTGCAATATGGCTGTATCTAGACCACAATCTGAATTTTACAGATAGATTTGTTCATTAACATTTTATTTAATAAACATACTTCATCTAGAACAATATTCCACAGAATTTAGTGTTATTTCTTTTCAAAGTGCATTCTTTCTTGTTTAAAATCACAGAATTGGATGACTAACCTAGTTTTGTACATTTGCTGCCCAAAGAACTCCTTAGTCTATACTGATTTATTGATAGATATTAATAATGTCCCAAATAATTCTATCTGGAATAGTAATGTTCCCTAAAGCAGAGGTCCCCAACCCCCAGTACCAGGCCGCCGCATGCCAGCAAACAGTCCGCACAAACAAGGAAAGCCCCATCTACAGGATGCAGGCAGCACACAAAACCATGCCCCCTCCAGTCCATGGAAAAACCTCTCTCCATGTAACCGGTCTCTGGTGCCCAAAAGGTTGGGGACCTCTGCCCTAAAGCACTTACTTTAAAAATCCAATCTCCCCCTTTCCCAACCCAGTTTATTTATTTGATGTTCTTAATCATTTAGTTTTCTGCACATTTTGAATATCTTGCCGCAGATCAGACATCAAGGTAAGGCTAACTACGTGAACCATAAAATCTTCAAAATCGATTTTGTCATTCTTGTTCTCATCAAGAGCAGACATCATTTCCTGGTACTTTGGTTTGGTTTCTTGACCCTGTGAATGAAAATTAGTAGATACTGTCAGATATGAAGAACCTGACTCACATGTGTAGAGTTCAAACTTGCTACTTTATTGTTTTATGCCTATTCCACAGGAATCTCCCCAGACTGCAGCTTTCCCCTGGGAAAGACTAGATAAGGCTCAAAGGCATTTGGTGTGTGTGTGTGTGTGTGTGTGTGTGTGTGTGTGAGAGAGAGAGAGAGAGAGAGAGAGAGAGAGAGAGAGAGAGAGAGAGAGAGAGAGAGAGATTACTCTCTTGTGTTTATATAATAAGTCCAGAGTAATTTGGCACTTGAGTCCTCCTCCTGACTGAGACAGTTGCTCTCCAACATAAATTTCTAGAAGATCTCCTTTGAGGAACGAGAAGAAGAAAGGGGAGTTGCTGTCTTGTGAGTAGCTGCACTCACTTCACTTTCTCTGTCCTGAATATTCCCACATCCTCATTGGACATGCAGTATATGTGAAATCTCTCTTCTTCTGTGTTGCTTAAAAGGATGTTTTATACAGGATCTCTGTTTGTTTGAAGGTTCTATGGTATTTCCCAGATATCATTATTAAATGTTGTAATGGAACAAGACGCCTATTCTTACCTGTATAAAATGCGTAAACTGAATTAGGAGCAGCTTCTTAGCTTCAGATTTGCTGAGTTTGCCCTCGGCATCTGCCGCATTATCATAAACCAAGGCTGCTGTAGCCACGGCTTTTTCTAGCTCAGAACTTTTTCCTAGAGCTGAGAGGGGAGGGGGAGAAACAAAAATATATGGAAGATGACAAATCAATAGAAGTCTACAGGAGTGAATATATGGTGACAGGGAGGAAGAAGCTAAGAGAGAGCAGATTCCAGATCTGAGGGACCATCAACACTGACTTCCCTGATATCTTGTAATTTCTTGATACAATAATGGCTTAGTTTAATGAACATTTCTAAACCCTGGGAGAAGACATTGAAACTAGATTTTACACTTCACCCTTTTGAACTGCCTTGTTATTGATGAATAACACTCACTAATATTTGCAGATTATAGTGGTAAATCTTACACATATCCCTCCTTCTATTCCATGAAAAGGTAGGGTATTCTCCAACTTGCAAAATGAGATTCGATGCTAAGACCAAGGCAATTTGGAGAGAAGTTAGTGAGTGGAATTATGAAAGGGTATGAAGATTACAGATAAGACTCAGCTACTGAAAAAATGCAAGTGTCTGACTTCATCTGAAACCCTAGAGACTGCTAAACAAAGGCTCATAGCACTGGGTATCAAACTAAGGAGATACACAAGTGAAACAGAGGCCAAGAGGATAAATGCCCTATTCTCCAAGGAACCATCCAAGGTGTACTCCCAACTGCAGTGCAACAATACAGTAACAGCAGTGCCACCAAGAGCAGAAACTGAACAGTATTGGAAGAACATATGGGAGAAAGAGAAGACATATAATACTGCAACACCCAAGGGCAGTCCACAGCAATATCCAAAACAAGAACCCATCACCATCACAGTAGCAGACATCCAACAACAGTACATGAAGAGCTGGACAACACCTTATCCAAACATGATTCAGATCTAATAAAGAAACCAGCAGAAGTGCATGAATGTCTTGCAGCCTATTGGAACCAGCTGCTAGAAGCAGACTCCCACCCAAACTGGCTAACATAAGGAAAGACAGTGTTGGTCATGAAAGACTCCCACAAGGCAACAGCACTGTCCAGCTACTGGCCAATAACCTGCTCCCTATAACATTGGAAGTCCTGTGAGGCATCACAGCTGCCAAGCTGCAAGATCATATGGGCCAGTACATGAGCACAACTCCAAAGGGCATTGAAAATAATACGTTCTAGATCAGACATGTCAAACTTGCGCCGTCACATGACATCACACAATGTATTGGAGCTTTTTCCCCATTGCCAGCAATGGGATGGGCACTGTTTCCTTGTGATGCGTCCAGCCTGCATGCCAGCAGTTTGACACACCCCTGCTCTAGATGAAGCTGTCCTTTAAGACCACCCAAAACCTGAACTGCAATAGTACATGTAGCTTATACCATTGTTGCATGAACTGCCCCAGGTTCCAGTTCTTTCCAGGTGAACTTTAAGGTGTATGTTATCAGTTAAAAAATCCTGAATGGCATATCCATTCATCCCATCAGATTGAATAGGGTGGGCTTTTTTCCAGTTACCCTCTATTAAATATTGTGATCTGTCAGGACCTAGGACAGGGGTCTTCAAACTTGATCCTTTTATGACTTGTGGACTTCAATTCCTGGCTGAGGAATTCTGGGAGTTGAAGTCCACAAGTTATAAAAGGGCCAAGTTTGAAGACCCCTGACTTAGGAAGTGAAGCTTTTTGGTAGCTATGCCTATCCTACCCTCAAAATATTGTTGGGGGGGGGGTGTCCCCAAAATCTCATAATTTTCCAGAAGCCTGTTTCAGAAGCTTGGCTTTTCTCTCTGATATTGGCCAGGATGGGAAATGAGCCTAACATTTGTATTTTGGAGATAATAGTTTTATGACATTTGGTAGTATGTAAGAGTTTTTAGCCCTTGTATATCTTATTATTTGTATATCTGAACGTTAACTATCCAGGGTTATTTTATTTAAGAGGAGTGGCATAAACCTCTTTCATACACACCTGTACAAAGAAGTGGCATACACTTCTTTCATACACACATGTACACTACTAACAGTGACATACTGTTTTTCAATGAAGTTGTTGTAGTAAGGTAATTGCATTCCTGCCATGGATTTCAGGAGAAGCTGTTCTCAGTACTGACTGACTGCATTGCTCAGCTCTTTCCGGGGAAAAAGTTTGCAGGAAGAAATAAAATCCCCACAAGAAGAGCAACGCTGTATGCTTTGTATAGCGGGTGACCAATGTAATCCCTAAGTTTAATAGTGTCATCTAACAGAGATGGACAGAGGAGAAAAGTAGCATAGATCACCTTACCCTTTATAGAAGACAACTGCTTGGAAATTGGAATGCTGAAAATTAAACAGAGAGAGCTCAATTCACATATCACACCATTAAATTTGGTTACAAACTTTTTTTTTTAAATTACTTTCTTTCAGAAGGCACAAACATCATATTAATCACAGTAAGTTTTCAATATTTCTTATAAATAAAAAAGTGCCTTGAATGTTTGATGGGGGAGAAATGATAATAAATAAACACAAAATACTAGTTCAGGCAATTTCGTTCCATGGCATTGAAAAATCTAAGTTTCTCACTTACTTTACAATGCAAGCATATGTTTTTGTAATTTGTGAGTTTATCTACCGTTCCAGCTTCAATTAAGGCCTGAATAACTTACCTGGGGAGGTTCTTTTTCTGACCCAAGCCTGTTTCTGACAGCCATTTCACACAATCTCTGTGCATGTGGAGAAAACCTCTGGGTAGAGCTTTGCTGAGTATTGTGGAATTTTGTAATAAATAGCACTTCATGAAAATGGGCCCATTCTCCTTCTCCAGGATAGCTGGGAGAATTTTGGAATCCTTTGCCTCTACTTGAGATGTCATAGCTTAGTGCAGGGGTCTTCAAACTTGGCAACTTTAAGACTTGTGGACTACAACTTCCAGAATTCCTCAGCCAGCCAGGGCTGGCTGAGGAATTCTGGGAGTTGAAGTCCACAAGTCTTAAAGTTGCCAAGTTTGAAGGCCTCTGGCTTAGTGGGATATCCAGTTCCAGGCAACCTATCATTAGGGCTAATCCTATAATTAGGCAGAACCAAGCGCTGAACAGAGAGCAATTTACCTTTCTCATGAGCCACAGATCAGAGTGACCTGCCATTTCAGTGTATCTTTGGAAAAGCACATCAAAGGTGTTCTGACTACTTGATTTATTATTATTATTATTTTGCTGCAAAGCAAAGTGTTCTATGGAGCAGCTGCCTCCAGGGTGGCTACCATTGCAGTAAGACTGTGATGAGGCTCTTGAGAGTATGTATCAGATCCAGAGTTTTGTTCTGAAGATCCTATAGATTCACAGAGCCAGGCATATTTGCCAAGGTGGGAGGTAGTAGCTGAGATCAAATATGACACAAATTCTCTATACAGTAAATAGGGGCAGATAACCAAGCAATGTGGAAGCCTGGTAGGCAAGCAAACCTATCTTCATCTGGTTGAATGAAATAAATGCCTCATAAAGCATGAAAGTAGGTTTTTAACAATTAACGATAGGTTTAGCCATTGTTTTGAATTTAGGTTTAAAGCTAAATTGAGAATCATCAAAATCAAATTAGAAGCTTCTAGTTCCTTCTTGTAAGACAGGGGTGTCAAACTCAATTTCACTGAGAGCCGCATCAGCATTGCGGTTACCCTGGGTGGGCTGGGTGGATGTGGCCAGAGTGGGTGCAGCCTACTGAGTGGGCGTGGATGGAGTGGGTGTGGCTACTGGGAGGGCGTGGCCAGTTCTACATCATTCGCGTCGAGAGTGCCTATGGGGGCCTGGGCAGGAGTGGAACAGATCAGAGGGTCTCTGGCAGAAGGGGATGGGATCGGGGCAAGTGCCAAGGCATGGTCACTGGGGCAAGTGCCAAGATGGCTACCACAAAATTGTACATTGGCTCCCGGCTGGCCTGGGCCAGGGCCAAGGCAGCGGGGGCCGTTCCCGTTTCAGGATGGCTTTGTGGGCCATATGAAACCACTTTGTGGGCTGCATCTGGCCCCCGGGCCTTGTGTTTGACATGTCTGTTGTAAGAGGACAAAGACCAAGTGAAGGCTAGATTCATTCTTGTATCGATGCATCACACTATCTTTTCACTTTCTGATTTATATTTAGATGTGTTCCTTATTGTAAAAAAATGAAAATTTGTTCTGTGATTGCCACATCATATATTGTATACAGCTACAATATGATTTGGAGGCAGGACTGAGCATTTACATTCCTATTTCCATTTTTTGATTTAAAGATTAAAAAAAACTAGGTTCCTTAAACCTCTGCTACATTTAACATCCCAATTTTGCATTCAAAACTCTTCCCGCCTGTAAAAGCTCTACAAAAGATGGTTGAAAATTTCAGCCCAACCCCTCTACTGATGTCTTTGGGTGAAAGAAGTGGTATGTATCTTGGACAAGATCCATTTTGAGTGAATGCAGCCAACAAAATGTCTCCTTGTGATCTTTTATAACTTCTTTTATTTAACATTGAATATGAACGATTTGGCCGATGTCCAAGTAGCTGTATGGTTCTAGTCTACAATTGTAAGTTGTTCAGCAGGACGGCACATATTAAGTCAGCTCAAATTTCAAAAGCGAGTATGAGTTACAAACATGAAAAAACAGTTTTTTAAAAATAAAAAAAGCAGAATGGTTCTTCTTTAAAAATTAATGCAAAGTATTAGCTGGGAACAATTCTTAATAATAAGAGCAGGTTTACAGTAGGACCAACTGTTTAAAGTGTTGGTGACTTCTCCTTTGCTGGGTGTGTTCAAACAGAAGCTGAAATCAATCTGATGGATGTGCTTAAATATGGATTTCTTTACTGCATAGAGAGTTGAACCAGACGGTCTAAGAGGGAGGGAGGTTTCCAACTTTTTTTCTTTTAGATTTATAACTTAGGTTTATTACTTTAAAAGTCACTCAAGACAGTGAATGTACCTAAATACTCTTCCCCCCTCCTATTTTCTTCACAACGGGGTCTTCAAACTTGGCAACTTTAAGACTTGTGGACTTCAACTCCCAGAATTCCTCAGCCAGTCCACAAGTCTTACAGTTACCAAGTTTGAAGACCCCTGCTCCACAACAACAGCCCTGTTAGGTGGGTTGGTCTGAGAGAGAGTGACTGGCCCAAAGTCACCTCCAGATAGTTGATGTTCCAGTCCTACTTTTATGATAACCAAGTACTTTGGGGCTAAAGTACTAGAAACTCGTAAAATCCATTTACACACTCTGAAAGCTCGGTCCTTTTCTCTCGTTTAGAAACATACACAATGAAAGTACAGATCAAATGGAGAAGGCATGTGAGGTTCCCAGAGAGGAGAAAAAAAAATGCTCTTGATTGTCACTTACCGTTTGAACGTTTTCTTTGAAACTTTGGTTGAAGAAACATCCTTTGGATGATTTGGAGAATATGAGGTAGTCTCGGTACTAGAGGTACAGCCACACATCTTTCCCAACAGCTTGGCTACTACTGTTTACGATCTCTAGGCAACTGAAGAATTGGCAAACTGGCAAACAGAAACCCTTTGTGTTGGGAAGGCAGCACAGTCATGGAAATGTTCCCTGGCCATTGGAGTTGTTGCAAATAAATCAGTCGGGAAGGAAATGCCAGAAATCAAGAGGAGCTGTGACACCCAAGACTTACCTCATGCAGAAAGTATCTTTTAAAGTGCACTTTTTGCATATTTCTGAATGTGAATTCAAGATTTTAAAAACAAGAGGCAATGGAATCTACTGCATGACACTCAATATAGCTCCTGCCTTTGCATGGCATTTCCTGTCTAGAAATTCATGATATCCTAAACACACTTGCCTGGGAAAAAGCCCATTAAATTTAAGGAAAGTTTCCTGCCTGAGCAGGGAGTTGGACTAGATGACCTCCAAGGTCCCTCCCAACTTTATTATTATTATTATTAGTAGTATTAGTATTAGTATTATTAAGGATCATCGCACAGTCAGCCAGATGTTCAGACTGGATTTGGCATTTCTGTCTACCTATCGAGTCCTTACCAAAGACCTGGGATAGGCAGATGTGGATGTTTGATGGTATTACAGATATCGTCGCAAGATGGAAGCAGTTCCTAGTAAGGCCACCTTTTGCAAGTGGTACTCCAGTTGTTTTGGGATTGCACCCAAGGGGCCTATTACTATTACTACTACTATTACTATTATTATTTTTGTTGTTGTTGTGTTGTTGTTTGTTTGTCAGTTTTGACTTTGGGCATGTAGATACACACCCATGTAATTTTCTTGGCAACATTTTCAGAAGTGATTTCCCCATGTCTTCTTCCTGAGAGAGTGGTTGGCCCAAGGTTACCCAGCTAGATTTGTGCCTAAAGGAGAACTAGACTGTCTGCTGGTTTCCACTCTGGTGCCTTAAGTACTACACCAAATTAGCCATCTCAGAGGAATATACAGTGTATATAAAATAAGTCTTGCAGGATCAGGTTAATGGCTCATCTAATTCAATGTCTTGTCCCTCTTAATAGTCAGCCAGTTGTTTTCAGGAAATCCATACACATGGACAGGCAAGTGATAACTTTATTTTCACTGTTGTATGCCTAGCTGGTTTCCAATCATACAATCCCCTTTTTTTTTTAATACTGCCTACCCTAATGGCTTTCACTGACATTCACTGGATGGCTGCAAATCGCACAGTTAGACCACGCATTGTGCAAAGAAGAAATTTCTATTATAGATCTGAATCTCCCTGCATTTAGTTTTACATTTAGTTTTATTCATTTTAGTGCTGATCTTTCTACACATTGCCTCCCAAGCTGTAATAGTTCTTAGATTTCTGGTGCCTTTTTAAAGGGAAAGACAGCGCATAATTGCAGAGTCGCTGTCGATATGCTTGTAGTCCATGTTCATTACCCCTTCAATTAATACCCAGAAATTATATAGAAATGGAGCTGCTCTCAGCTTGAAAACAAGAGAAAGTTTTGTCATTAAGTGTGAAAGGTGGATTTCCCTCCCCCCCCATTTGAATCCTGTAACAAAGCATGCAGAGCTTTATATCTGAGTCTGAGTTAGAAGGCATGCGACTGAGAAGGCTGAGTCATTCTCAGAATCCAAGTTATGCTCTCAGCTAAGAAATGGCCCCTCAATGTTGCTTGGCAATTCAGAATAACAGAAAAACAGAGTTGGAAGGGATCTTGCAGGTCTTGCAGTCCAAATTCTTGCTCAGGCAGGAGAACCTATACCATTTCAGACAAATGGTTGTTCAATCTCTTCTTAAAAACCCACAATTTCTGTAGGCAAGTCATTCCACTGATTAATTGTTCTAATTGTCACGAATGTTCTCCTTATTTCTAGATTGCTTCTCTCCTTGATTAGTTTCCATCTATTGCTTCTTCTCTTGCCTTCAGGTGCTTTGGAGAATAGCTTGACTCCCTCTTCTTTGTGGCAACCCCTGAGATATTGGAAGACTACTATCATGTCCCCCCACATCCTTCTCCTCATTAGACTAGACATTCCCAATTCCAGCAACCGTTCCTTATACCTTTTAGCCTCCAGTCCCCTGATCATCTTTGTTGCTCTTCTCTGTACTCTTTCTAGAGTCTCAACATCTTTTTTATATTGTGGCGACCATAACTAGATGCAGTATTCCAGGTGTGGCCTTAACAAGACACTACATGTAGTCCTTGACTTACAACAGTTCATTTAGTGACTGCTCAAAGTTACAATGGTATTGAAAAAGGTGGCTTATGACTATTTTCCCACTTACGACTGTTGCAGTATCATATGATCAAAATTCAAATGGTTGGCAACTGTTCGTATTTATGATGATTGCAATGTCAATTTTTGTGACCTTCTGACAAACAAAGTCAATGGAGAAGCCAAATTCACTTAACAACTGCATTACTAAGTTAATAACTACAGTGATTCACTTAACAACTGTGGCAGGAAAAGTCATAAAATTTGGTAAAATTCACTTAACAAATGTCTCATTTAGCAGCAAACATTTTGGGCTTTGTTGTGTTCATAGGTTGAGGACTACCTGTATAAAGTGGTACTAACACTTCATATGATCTTGATTCTTATCCCTCTGTTAATACAGCTTAGGTTTGCATTGACTTTTTTTGGCAGCTGCAGCACACTCTTGAATTCACTCTTGAAATTTATGAGACTAAGAGCTGTCATTTGTGATATAATATAGTCAGGGCATATGCCAATCAACCGGTTAAATATTTATAAAAAGATGTAGCAAGGGTATGTGAACCCAACCAAAGTAGACCAGCTAGCAGGCCAAATTGTACTTCCCCCCCCTTTGTCTCCATGAGAACTCAGAAAGGATATCTGATGTTTTCTCAGGTTACAGTTCTGCCCTGGATTCAGTTTTCTTTTATCTGACCATTGTCTTGGTAGCAGCTCTTCTTCCTGTTCCTCAAGGTCATACCTTCTTCTTATTACATTAGCTTATTTGCGAACTGTGTGTCTTGCCACTTATGTGTTCAGGAACTGCAAGACAACTCTATGTGCACATGTCGGCTATGGGGAGGCCATGTGGTTGTGTTTGATAGGAATATGTAGGTTTATGGAAAGGAATACACTGCTTGGCCTTCGCTTTTAATGGACAAAAAAATGAAGCCTTCAGTGGTATCTACTGTATGTCTTTTGTCCCCAACTTAAAAAGAGAAATCATGATTTTAAAATAGTGGGGATAGTAATCTGAGATGATGATGATGATGATGATGATGATGATGATGATGATGATTATTATTATTATTATTATTATTATTATTATTATGAATCATCGCACAGTCAGCCAGATGTTCAGATTGGATTTGGCATTTTGTCTACCTATTGAGTCCTTACCCAGGACCTGGGATAGGCAGATGTAGATGTTTGATGGTATTACAGATATCGTCGCAGAATGGAATCAGTTCCTAATAAGGCCGCCTTTTGCAATTGACTAATAGCGAATTTGTCAATGCCAATGGTATTATTATTATTATTATTATTATTATTATTATTATTATTAATCATTGCACAGTCAGTCAGATGTTCAGACTGGATTTGGCATTTTTGTCTACCTATCGAGTCCTTGCCAAAGATCTGGGATAGGCAGATGTGGATGTTTGATGGTATTACAGATATCCTCGCAGGATGGAAGCAGTTCCTAGTAAGGCCGCCTTTTGCAATTGACTAATAGCGAATTTGCCAATGCCAATTGTGTTCAAGTGGTGCTCCAGTTGTTTTGGGATTGCACCCAAGGCGCCTATTACTATTGGTACTACCCTTGCTTGCCTTTGCCACAGTCTTTTTATTTCTATTTGTAGGTCTTTGTATTTTGTTACCTTCTTCAGTTCTTTCTCATCTATTCTGCTGTCTTCAGGCACTGCCACGTCCACTATCCAGACTTTTTTGTCTTTCTTATCGACAATTGTTAAGTTCAGGGTGTTATGTGGCAGGTGCTTATCTGTTTGAATTCTGAAGTCCCAGAGCAGTTTAATGTTATCATTTTCTTCTTCTTCTTCTTCTTCTTCTTCTTCTTCTTCTTCTTCTTCTTCTTCTTCTTCTTCTTCTTCTTCTTCTTCTTCTTCTTCTTCTTCTCTTCTTCTTTTTCTTCTTCTTCTTAATATTAATATTATTATTCTTATTATTTTCTTCTTCTTCTTTCTTCTCCTCCTCCTCCTCCTGTTCTTCATTCTTCTTCTTCTTCTTCTTCTTCTTCTTCTTCTTCTTCTTCTTCTTCTTCTTCTTCTTCTTCTTCTTCTTCTTCTTCTTCTTCTTCTTCTCCTCCTCCTCCTTCTCCTTCTTCTTCTTGTTATTGTTGTTATTGTTGTTGTTTCTTTCACAAACAGGATTTTACCCCAAAACCATATTGTTTTCCATAAAGAGAGCACAGTCAGAGCTGCTTTTAAATAAGGCTATCATTAATCAGGAGATTTACTCCCTTGCTTGGTGAGGACCTTAATATACGTTTGCTGTTCTAGTCTTTTCTCTGCTTGTTGGAACAATTGGAATTCCTTGGGAATTTAGTTAAAAGGCCTTATAGGGGCATTTTATAATCTGTGGGCCACATAATTGGGTGTCCCTGCCCGACCTATGTGATGTCAATTGGAAATTAGAAATAAAATGCAGGGGGCAGGAGAACCTGAATAGGGTCCAGTTCTGCTCAGCTGCTGTGCGGTCCTACAGTCAGTTGCCAGCTATGGGAGGATGAAGAGAGAAAACACTTTTCTGAACCTGCACAGCACTATTTGTCACCTGAAGCAGCCTGAGGAGGTGACAACAACTGTCATTGTCTGAGGGGACCAAGCTCGGCTACCCACCGCCACCTCGGTGGAAGCATGAACTTGTGGGCACAGCTGGGCAAGCTGGGAGCAATTTGTTCAACCCTCCACAATAGTCCCAGTTCATCATGTGGCCCCTTGGAAAAATTAATTGTCCCCCTTTATCTTACATCCTCCTCCTCAACAGCCCCAACTGTTCAGGTGGTGACTGTGTTTGAAAAGCCTGCGATTCCTGGACTTGTCTCTTCTGAAGCGGACATTCCACAGGTTCAGCTGGAGCAGCTTCTTTGGCATCAGATTCAAAATCTGAGTCTTGAGCCAGGACCATAACAATTACAGCCTTTCTACTCAACCAT